CCTACAATGTGGCTACATCTAGACGGGCATGATTTTCCGCAAGTGCTTTTAACGGAAAACTTTTCCGTTAAAAGCATTTGCGGAAAAGAGCGTCTAGATTGGCACTTTTTGCAGAAAAGCGTCCGTGGCCAATCTAGACGCGCTTTTCCGCAAAAAAGCCCCGATTGCCATTTTCGCCCGGACGGGAGCAGCATAGTATTTCCGCAAGAAGCACTGATTTCAGACAGTAGGAAGTCAGTGTTCTTGAGGAAATTCAAGCGGCCAGTGTAGACAGCTGGCAAGTTTTTCCGCAAAAGCAGCTGCTGTTGTGGAAAAACTTGCCAGTCTAGACACAGCCTGTATGTATAAGATAACAAGCAAGGGATGACTTATCCCCATTTTACAGCTTGGGGAAACTGAGGCATGGAAAGGGGCAATGACTTGCCCAAGATCACCCAGCAGGAGAGCTGGGAATAGACCCCAGATCTCATAAGAACAGCCAGACTAGGTCAGACCAAACGTCCATCTAAACCAGCATCCTGTCTTCCCACAGTGGCCAATGCCAGGTGTTCCAGAGGTAATGAACAAACTAAGTAAGGGTATGTCTACACTACCCCGCTAGTTCGAACTAGCGGGGTAATGTATGCATACCGCACTTGCTAATGAAGCCCGGGATTTGAATTTCCCGGGCTTCATTAGCATAAGCGGGGAGCCGCCATTTTTAAATCCCCGCTGCTTCGAACCCCGGGTAGCCGCGCTACACGGGGTTCGAAGCAGCGGGGATTTAAAAATGGCGGCTCCCCGCTTATGCTAATGAAGCCCGGGAAATTCAAATCCCGGGCTTCATTAGCAAGTGCGGCATGCATACATTACCCCGCTAGTTCGAACTAGCGGGGTAATGTATGCATACCGCACTTGCTAATGAAGCCCGGGATTTGAATTTCCCGGGCTTCATTAGCAAGTGCGGCATGCATACATTACCCCGCTAGTTCGAACTAGCGGGGTAGTGTAGACATACCCTCAGTGATCCAGTCCCTTTTACTCATTCCCAGCTTCCCAAGCCTGGGTGCTGTGCACTCGTCCATCTCACCTACTGCTCCTTTGCTCGTAAATGAGGTGGGGCAACTGGCTGTGACAGTCGAGGACAGTAACTTTACTGACTAGGAATCTGAGGCACAGAGATTGACTGACTTGCCCATGGTGAGTCCGTGCACAAAGCTGGGAACCGAACCCAAATCTTCCCATCTCGCTCCAGCGCTTTAATCTCAAGACCTTCCTCCCAACCTTCTTCTCACCAGAGTCTGGCTAGGGAAACTCATACACCATATAGCAGTTCAACCCCCTCCTCCACTAGTCATCACCCCCTACCCCCAATTCCCCATAACCTACAACTCACTTGAACCCCAGGCTTTGGCAGTGACTTCACTCTTTTCTTTCCAAGAGGGATATAAAACAGGGCTAGAGCCAGCCTTCCAACTCCAGGATTACTACATATTTTCCATTCATTTTAACTTCGAACAGGGCTCCAATAACCGGCTTTATATATGTTATAACCTCCCACCCAGGCATGGCATCCAGCAATGCCAGATAGCCGGGCTGCCCCAATAAAAAAGCTCCAGCTCTTTTAATAATCACTAATGCACCATTTCCTGCTCGTTATGGAAATAAACACTGCCCTGAGCAAGCGGGTTGCTTTCAAAAATATCCCCCCCACCCTACCCCTTCGCCCGCCCAAGTGCAATTTTAATGAAGAAAACCTGCAATTTTCTATTGTTTCAGCATGGAACAATAAAGCTCCTGGATGGAACTTGCCACTAATAGTTTTTCGTTCAGCAGCAAAAGCCCAGTGCTGAGTTAGGAATGATGAAGAATCTCCGGTCAATTTCAACAGAGAAGCTATAGTCACTGATTGTGGGCTCAGAGAGGAGACTGATTTTGGGCTGTAGACCCATCCCCACGGGCTGCAGGTGAAGGCAGTGGAAGGTGAACGTGTGCGGCATTCCGCTTTCACCTTGAGGCCTCCCACATTTCTCTTTTGGATGCAGCGATCAGGGCGCTCTCGAAATCTTTCAATCCAAGGCGGCAACACTGTCACTATGGGTGTGTCTACACTGCATCTCTCTGTCGGCAGAGGGATGCAGATTAGGCACGTCGACATTGCAAATGAAGTGGGGATTTAAATATCCTGTGCTTCATTTGCATAAAAATGGCCGCCGCTTTTTGCCGCCACTTTGTCGGCAAGGAGGTTTACAGGATCTGTCGAAAAAGGCTTTCTGTCTCCACAGATCCCCCTCTAGACTGCCGCTTTTTGCCGACAACGTACCGCATCGGCCAAAAGCGGCAGCCATTTTTATGCAAATGAAGCACGGGATATTTCAATCCCACTTCATTTGCACTGTTGACCAGCCTAATCTGCATCCCTCTGACGGCAGAAGAAGGCAGTCCAGACATACCCTATCAGAGCTTGGCTCTGGCTAAGAGCCCCCATGTGTTGAGGTCAACATTGCAAGACTGGAGGGTCTTTTTCGAGTTTTCTTGTTCTGCCCCTAAAACAAGTTTCAATCTGCAGCCCCAGCCTTTGGCATTCTACCGCCAGACAGACAAGCCATGTGTCCACATCATCTCAGTTGCACGCGCACCATAAAAACTTCCACGCTTGTGATGCAGAATCCCCAAGAAGGGAGAACGGGGAAGAGCCTGGATTGAAATTAACAAGGGGATCAAAAATAAAGGGGTGTGCAGACAGGCAAAGCAGCCTTTGATGGAGCACTTTACACTTAACGGCCGGGGTTCAATTCCTGCTTCCTGTGAAACCTGAGGAAGTCACCTGAAGCTACACTTCTTCAAATTCACAGAACGGCTGAGGTCCTGTTTTCCGAAGAGCCTCCCTCTGTTCTAATTCCTCACTGCGCACCTCGCCTTATCCACCAAGCCACTGGAGGAGCCCCCCAACCTTCCTACCTTCTGGGCCCCCCTTACCCATCTTATGTCCCAAGGGTGCCATGTCTATCCATCACCATGCTCGTGTTGGGTGACCCCGCATGCACCTTCCGGTCATGACGTGACTAACAGCTGCCGTTCAGGCAATGCAAATAGAGCCAGGTTTTCAAGAGTGCTCAGTAGCTCTTGTTGCATGTCAGGAGTTGGGATCTTTGGAAAATCTGCCTCCCCACCCCAGTCTTGTTCTCAACCCTGCCCTGTTCTAGCCACTCTATTAAACTTCCTCCCAGAACTAGAACTAGACCCCCAAAATCCTGACTGCCCCTTCCCCAGCTCTAACCACTGGGCAACGTGGGAACAGAACGAGGCACTCCTAATGCTCCTTCCCCTGCATTGACCACTAGACAGCACACCCCCTTGGACCCAAATAGAACCCAGGAATCCTGCTTTGCACCTCACAGCACTGACCACTAACTCTCACTTTCTCCAAAACTTGAAAATGTAACCCAGGAGTCCTGACCTCCTCCCCCCAGCACCTGCCGATCTTCCCACATGGAGTTTTATTACACAATAAGCACACCAGGGCTGTGAGAAGGGATAGGGGGTTGCAAGGCATGTCAGAGGCCTTTCTTTCAAACAAAACATTGCTCTGTGGATTGCTATTAAAATAACAGTCCCACTGGGGACATGGAATCCTTAAGGTAAGAACGATCCTGCTGCACTGACAACCCACAACTTCCCAATATCAGCCCCTTCAAAGAGACCCCACTGCTAGCCACAGAACTGCAGGGCTCGGTGGCAAGTCCAGCAATCCACATGGGGTGCTGCAGACGGGTTGAGCTTTGCACATTATAAATAAGAGCTGCTGCTCTGATCTAAGAGAGAGAGAGAAAGCCCAGGCTGATTATCTGATCCCCATTATCTGATCCCCCTTCTGCTAGTGCAGACTTAACCCCTGAGATTATTTCACTTCCCTCACGTAACCCAATCGGCTTCAGTGGAGACAGAGCAGTGACATTGATGGATTATGGGCAGATCATTGCAGAGCCCAATCTGTGCCCGATGTATGGCGAATATACAGGGTTACAGCCCCAAATTACAGACCCTTTTCTCTTCAGATCTGGCAAGCAGCTGATGCTTTTAGGCAGAGAGCTCCCCCGCCCAATCTCCCATGTGTTGGCCGAGATGTCAGCTGTCACAGTTGCACATGGTAATCCAGGTTTGCCAGGGGGCCCAGCAGAGCCAAAAGACAACACACACTCATGCCCAACATCTTGCAGCTGTGAGAGGACAGACCAATACGCCATATGCAGACCATGGCCCCCACAGCAAAACCGAGTGCCATTGCGACCTGGCGGGCAGGGTCAGGTTTGGCCCTGCCACCTCTTCAATGATCTGCCCCCTAAGATGTATGGGGTCGCAACCCCACATGCTGGGTCACAACGCCACTCACTACAATTTAACCCAGAAACCCCTCCATTGTGATGGAGGAGTCTTCAAGCTAAATCCAAGCAGGCCAGGTCACAGCCCCCAAGGGAATGGGGGAGAAGAAAGGGGCATTTTCCATCCGGAATAAAAAGTTATGATAGAAAAGCTTTGCTGAGCTTTAAGAGGAGAACTCCAGCCCCAATTTTGCAGGCGGGCACCATTCGACAGTCACACCACTGCCTTGCAACCAGCTGGCGATGGCACCTCGATAACTCCTCTGGCGCAAACCTGGTTGCCTTACTTTTACTCCTTGGAGCTCTTTTCATCTGCTGATCTCACTGTGCTGTATAGAGGCGGAATTGTGTCCCTGGCCCACATCTGCCAAAGCGGCTAGTGAGTGCGGCTGCTCCGACTTAAGATGCTGTAAAAGCAGATTTTCAGCGAGCAGATGCTCTGCACCATCTGAAAAATCAGCCTCTGCCTCAGTTTGGGCAGCCAAAATTGCTCATCACTCTGGGAAATGTAGGCCATTATTCACATACAGGTGGAGAAATTGAGGCACAAACACATGGACGTTTGGTCTTGCACATCTGTAGGGGCGGGGAAAGGGCAGGACCAGCCCTAGCAAAAGTATCAAATCAGGAATTACCAACCTGTCGATTTCGCTCATCCGTGATACGCTGGATCTGAATCTTTTTCCTCCCCATCTTCTCCGGAAATCCTCACCGTACGGGGATGGCTTTCTTGTTTGGGGGAGGGGAAAATAACCCTGCTTTAAAACGTTTTCATGAAAGAATGTTTTCTTTGATGTAAACGGTTTTTTAAAACCAAAACCAAACAAAAATCCGGGTTGCTTCTTTCTCAGTTCATGTTATGCTGCCGTCTGGTTAATTCCAGGCGCTTTGTGCCTGCAGTGGCTGCTTGGAAACCTAGGGAAGAGAGGAAAAAAGGATTGAAAATATTTTTCACACATCTTCCTAATTATTATGATGACTGTAGTACCGAGGGTATGTCTACACATCAAAGTTATTTCGGGGTACCAGAGGTAACCTGAAATAGCTACCCCACGTCTTCACAAGCCACCCGTTAATTCGAAATATTTAATTCGAAATATCAGAGTTCTGTGTGTGGCCCACAAGATGTTCTGTTGACCATTGCTCATACACAGGGCTTCCAGATTTGGCTGGTTTCCATCCATGTCGTTTTTTTTTCCTTACCAGTGTTACCACAGCGACACACACGTAAAGCCAAGGCATGTGAAGTGAGGTGCGCACCGATTGCACACAGCACTGACTGCGAGCTTATCGGACAGTTGACACATTGCTTCTCTCCCCCCAACCCTTGCTGCCTTGCTGCCTCTATCAGAAGAATAGGGGTGTTTCAAAGCAGCAGTGCTGTGTGGAGCCTCCTCCACTGACCCCGGGCTCCATGCAGCACTGCTGTTTTGAAACGCCGCAGGGAGCACGAGGCCAGCAGGGGACTGCTTGAGTTCCCTGCTGGCCCCATGCTCCCACAGCGCTTTTGCCTTTGAAGTGTAGTCGGGTTGTTGCTACACTTCAAAGGCGAAGGCGCCTGCATCGACTATTCGATTAGCCCGTTCATCTACATTTCATATGCCTAGTGCCATGTGCTCCCTTTGCATCCAATCACAGCGCTGCTATGGTTTACCTATCCTATCTCATAGGACTTGGAAGGGACCTTGAAAGGTCATTGAGTCCAGTCCCCTGCCTTCACAGCAGGACCAAGTACCATCCCTGACAGATTTGCCCCAAATCCTTAATTGGCCCCCTCAAAGATGGAACTCACAACCCTGGGTTTAGCAAGCCAATGCTCAAACCACTGAGCTATCCCTCCCCCCATGCCAGAAATTCTAGGCATGCCATCTCAGCAAAACTACCTTAGCCTGGGAGACCATCTTGCTTAGGACAATCTGGCAACCCTTTGAGATGAAGGAGGGCCATTCCTGTGGCTCACTCACTAGCCTAAGTTGCCTATTGCTGGTCTAATGAGACAAGATAGACAATGGTACAAGAGAGGGAGAACTCCAGGGGCTGATTCTTAGTAACCCAAAGACTCCTTTATATCCCCCCACCCACCCCGCCAGCAGCCACAGGACTGGTCAACCATGCAGCCAATCTTCTGAAATGTGGACTTTCTAGCAACCTGGATATTGCTCATTCCAGACTGTGTCACTGTTGTGCGATTTATTTCAGTGGCTGGCTACCGGCCCTGTTAGACGAGGGGGTTCTCTGCGACTGTGGGGCCTATTTCCGTTCTTCCCTCATGTCACGAATCCGGGCAGAGTTCCTCTGGGCGGTGTCCACTGGCTCCATCGACAGCTTTGAGGAGCAGTGGGCGCTGTCCGGGGTTCTCTGCTCGGTGTCCCCATCCGGCTCCCTTATTTTAAACCTGTGACCTGCACTCCTTGACCCTGTTGTCATTTTTTGTCCCCCGGATTCAGTTGAACATGGGTTCAGTGTCCATCCCATAAGGTTGGGGAGGGGCTTTTAGAATGTGGGCGGGCGCACCTTCCCATGCTTTCAAATAGGCCCTCCACCTGGCTGACAATGACACTGTTAAGTGGCTGAGAACATGGACGGCTTAGGCAAGGGAAGGCTTTGCCTTCCCAAACTGCCAGCCCGGCCATGCCCACACTCCGCCCTCAGAGCCCTTACTATAAGTGTTCTGGGGGCAGAGTGTTGCTGCCCCCAGCGCCCACTCTCTTGGTGCTCCTGGCGGGGGAAGCTGGAACCATCTCCTCCTCTCCCCTAGTGCTCCAGGAGTCGTGCTGCACGCATGCTCCCCTTCCCTCTCTTCCCCTCCCCAGTGCTCCAGGGAAGCTGGGAAGCGCTCGGTGCAATTCCCCGCTTCTCCAGGGAAGCCGGGGAGTGCTTAGCATGCTGCCCTGCCTCCTCCCCTCCCCAGGGGCGGGGCCTCAGCAGAGGGGGCAGGGCTGTAGGTGGGGCCGGGTACACAGTACATGCACTGATGAGCAGCACAAAGGAGTCTTAAAGCAAATGGAAATTTCACTGATATCACGGCACATCCCCATTTTACAGAGGCACAGAGCGATTCATGGCCAAATTTCCAAAAGACCTCAGATGTCCACAAGGCACCAAAGGCAGCAATGAGATTTCAGAAGTGAATAGCAGGTGTCGAGCTCTTCGGAAAATCTGCCCTTTTTTAAGGGCAGGTCTACACTACAGGAGAAAGTTGAGCTAAGAGCTACAAGACTAGATGGAGGGGAAACTGAGGCAGCCCAGCGACTTGACCTCTGGGACACAGGAAGCTTGTGAAAAAGCAGAGAATGAAGCCCAGGTCTGTGGGTAACCACAGCCCTCCCTGCCTCTCCTCTTCAAGCTAAGTGCTAGCCCTCAGCACAGTAGCAAAGGTCACCTGCTAACTGGCCAGGGAGAGAGATCAGATGGGCAGAAACCTTTTCAGAGGTGTTCCAGAGAGGCTGCAGTAACCCAGCAAGTCAAAGCACCAAGCTGCCTAGCATTACAAGCCTGCCCCAGCGAGATGGCATGTCTCAGCAGGGAGTAGATCTAAGCCACATGCAATAGGATTCCAAAGTTGGCAGCTCTTCATTTTTTCTACCAGGCTGAGCCATTCTTGCTTACTGCCTCCACCTTAAAAGCTCTTAGCAGCTTCTTTTTCAGCCCAAGTGTCAGGTTTTGAGCCCTGCTCATGGACAACAACAGGGCAACATTTTTCACAATATCAAAATTCAGATTACGCTCTCTCCTTGACATTTCACATTTTAGTGGGGGAAATGGGAGAGACATTTATGCATATGCTTTCCCCTCTGCTTCTTTCTACAAGTATCCATAAAAACAGTAATCATAATATTGCATTGTATTACAGTGGCATCCTTAGGGCCTGAATGAGCATCAAGTCCCACTTGCTAGGTGCTGTACACAGCCCCAGCTCCTTCATCCTAAAATCACCAAGGACTTCACCATTCCCATTTCAGCTCTATCACACAAAAGGGAGCACAGATTGAGCCAGAGAATTTGCCAAATCGCAGGAGGTCAATATTGTCTAGCAGCCTTATCAAGACTTCCACTGCTTGCTGGGTTCTGAGAAGACATTTAGGGATAAATTAGAGCTAAAGAACAGCACAGAACACGGAGAGCCAGGACTGGTCACTGTGAACTTTATGGGACTGCAGAAAACTTGGCCACACCCATGATCAGTGGACATCCAGCTAACTAAAGTCATGCTGGACCCTGGATGTTGCCAGACCAGAGAGGTTCAACTTGTACCGTTTTATGCACATGATGCTCCATTAACCTGTGGAACTCAGTGCCACAAGGTATCAGTGAGGCCAAACAACTTACCCAGTGTTCTACTGTACCAATAATATAAAGAAAGGACAGGAATCATGACTCTTAGGTCCCTGCTCTGACATGAAATCATACTCCCTCCCAAATCCAGAACACCCAGGAGATCTAACTCCCAGTCCCCCTGGCCTTACCACTAGACTACATGCCCAAAAAACAAGCAATCCCAGCCTTCCCTGACTTACAAGCTTGCCAGGAGGTTTGCCAATGTCCAATTTATTTCTTCTGTATCAGTTACTTTAATTCTGAGTAAAAGGGTTATGTCAAGGGATATATATATAAAATCACATTTGCTAATAATGCCATAAATAAATGGCACAGCAGCAGGCATTGGCTTCTTTGTTGGTCCTATTGACTCAAGTATCAAAGCATACCGGGTGGAAAGATTTCTTCTCCAAAACCCACTATTCATTTCCCATGAAAGAAGGACACTTGGAAGCCGAAGACATACTTAGTCACAGGAGGCCATGGACATACAAGCAACAAAAAAGTTCTTTTTACTTCCCCATTACTAGCGTACTTTACAAGGCCAAATTGTATTGAAATGACACCAGCTGAAGCCTTGTTTCCTTTTTTTTTTTCTTTCAATGTGTGCACCTTTCCTTGTGCCATTAATAAACAGCAGTGCAGCTGCAGCGTTGCAACAGTGGTACGGCGGTGGAAAAGCAACAGCAAAATGGAAGCAGGATCTCTAGGATCATAAGAGATGGGGGCCCGCTTTATAAGCCAGGTCAAGCCATATGAGACCAGCAGCTCAGTATGCTTACCAGTTACTGGTTAACCAACACAAGCAGGGATCTGCTCCAGTCCAGCCGGGCTCACTGCACGGTGGGTGGCCATGGGGAGGGCGCTGAAGCGGTTAACCAGTTAAACGTAACATTTAACTGAATAACGGAGATTTTACATCCCTCGCGGATATCTACTTTACATTCATGGGTACCCGCATCAGCAGATGTCAATGCGGATATCCACAGCTCATGTCTGTGGCTGCAGATACAAATTTTGTATTGCGCGCACGCACTCACACTCACACTCACACACACACACACACACACACACACACACACACAACCCCATGATTCTGGGGTGCATTAACAGGAGTGCTGTGAGCAAGACCCAAAAAGTCATTCTTCTGCTCTGCACTGATTAGCCCTCAGCTGGAGTACTGTGTCCAGTTCTGGGCACCACATTTCAAGAAAGATGTGGAGAAATTGGAGAAGGTCCAGAGAAGAGCAACACAAATGATTAAAGGTCTAGAAAGCATGACCTATGAGGGAAGACTAAAAGAACTGGCTTTGTTTAGTTTAGAAAAGAGAAGACTGAGGGGGGACATGACAGCAGTTTTCAAGCACCTCAAAGGGTGTGACAAGGAGGGGAAAAAATTGTTCTCCTTAACCTCTGATGAAAGGACAAGAAGCAATGGACTTAAATTGCAGCAAGGGAGATTAGGAAAAACATCCTATCGGGGTGATTAAACACTGGAATAAATTGCCTAGGGAGGTTGTAGAATCTCCATCACTGCAGATATTTAAGAGCAGATTAGACATACATCTATCAGGGATGATCTAGACGGTACTTGGTCC